ATTCGGTGACTTACGCGCACGCCCGCTTCCGTCTTTTTCTTTCCCCCCCCCCCCCACCCTTGTTATCTGTTCTCTTTGGCCTCATTATTTTTGTGTTACCACTGCCAAGCGCAAAGGGCAAACCTGTTTTTTTTTTTTTTTTTTGTAACCGGCATCGCTCAAAAATCACCACAACTAATTTCCGCAAAACTTGAAATGGCCATTTAATATCCGCAAGGTCCATTAGAAACAATAAAAATACAGCAAAATGACTCAACTCAACGATATTTCCGGAGCAGTCTAAAACAACGACCGTTGTAGACAAAGTGCTGTACGTGGAGCAAAAAAAAAAAAAAAAAAATCGTACAATAACAAACAAATGACAGTCGAGAGCACAAACACAATCAAAGTAAAAGTCAAGTCAAAAGCCAAAGAATAAAAATGAGTTTGAAGACAAGTTTGAAAGAGAGAGAGGCAGCAGCGGCGGAAAAGGCTCCATTCCCCGTCTGGTCCGCAGACCCGCGGCAGCGGGCGGGGTGCGGAGGAGCGCCGAGAGGTAAGGTGGGGCCGGGCCGTGTCAAGATTTGAAAACAAACAATAGAACCTTCAAAAGAACCGTAGGAAGGGATGCCGTACAAGTACCAGTCAAGAGGTGGGAAGCAGCATTCTGGACCCACTGGAGACCCTTTGTGGAGGACCGGCTGAAAAAAAAAAAAAAAACGTTATGACACATGTTGAAACATTCACTCGTAAAAAAAAAAAAATGTCTTTGTTCAAATAATTTTACAGCTCTTTTTCCAGAAAAGTTGTAAAAACGAATAAAGAAAGTGAGCTCAAAGTCAAATTAAGAGAATTCTGGTCAGAAGAAAATTCCAACTTTATTGTAACAGTTTTTCCTCTCAGGCGCCACTCAAAAAAAAAAAAAAAAAAAAAAAAGGTCCTTCAGGATAAAATTGTACTTTGATAAAAATCAAGTTGTAATTTAACGCGATAAAATCAGGTGTTGCAAATTCACGTATGGGCCATGGTGGGCTTTTTACCACTTTTCGAAAAATGTGAACAGAAGAACCGACCATTTGTTGCACCCGTTCCTTTTTCCTGATCGAAATGAGCATTTGGGCCTCTGGAAAAAAATGCTCAGATGGGTGCGGACTCTTCATTCAACATGATGGGCACCAACAAATCACAGGTGCCAGCTCGCCTTGGGGCCCAGCGGCGATTTGGCCTTTTTTTTTTTTTCTCTCCTTCATTCAGACACTTGTTTGGACGTCGGGGAGGTGGTGGGCATCGTGATCGGCAGCTTGCTGCTGCTGCTCATCCTGGTGCTGCTCATCGTGCTGCTGGTGTGTCTCGTGCTCAGGAGACGCTGTAAGCGCCTTTGAATTTGTTTCCCAATGACTTTGTGAGATTTTGTTTTCCTCGTGAAAGCAAACGTTTGCTGTCCATACGTTCAGGTGGAATACTACACTCCTGAAAATCGAGGCACAATACTACCGGCTCGCTTAAAAAAACAAAAAAAAAAACGTAGGCCTTTATTCGAGAGGAGACCTTTCAGCTTGTCATCACAACAAGTCGTGCACTTTTTTCAAAAAAGATTCTTTGACTCGACTTCAGATGTGTTTTTATGCTCCAATCCAAAATGAAATTGGTGTCCCCCTTTCGTCGTTCCTGACTTTGTACCTCTCTCCCGGTAATCGTTTGCACTCGTGTTGTTCCAGCGCGACAAAGGCAGGGAGAAGCCGTCACGGTCCAGAAGAACCGCACAAATCCGCGGCCTCAAGTAAGCCAACAGCCACACGATTCGCTGTTGATTTGAACGCGTTGTTTGTGATGGCGCCATTGAAACCGAAGCCTCCTCCATTTTTGTCTTGCCACCATTAAGCCTGCAGATCCCCGCACCGCCCTCACAAGGGATCTGGCCCAAGGTCCCGACGCCCCCGTCTTTCGATCCAACCCCCAGCGTCAGACGCCCCCCGACCTGCGGGCACCGCAGCCGAACAGCTTGCGGCAAAACGCTCTTGCGCCGCGAGCCCTCGTCGAGGCGACGCGCAACGCAGCCTCCTACCCGCTTCACGGCATTGACAACCCGGCTTTCGCGCGGGGCGACGCGCAGCCGACCGATTCAAACATTGTCATCCGAACCGGTGCCGCCGAAGGCAACGGCCGGCCGGCGGGAGTCCGGCTGAGCCTGACGCAAGGTTCCCGGCAGAACGCGCAGATGCCCACCATTCACGTCAACCTCAACTCCTTCCCTCAGCAGGAAGCCGCTCACGCCGCTCCTCAAGTCGTGGAGGCGGGGCGGTCAAATCCCAGGATGCAAGGCGGGCCAGCCCCCCGAGGTGCGGTGGCGAGTCTTGGGGCTCAGCCTGGGCTCATCCCGACAGGAAACGCGCACGCCCGCACCGCTCAGCGCGATGCCAAGACGCAGACTTACCAACAAGAAGTCGGCGCCACATCCTCCCGTCAGCAGATGCCGTGGGATCTCCTGAGGGGGACGCCGGCGTATCCCGGCGGGACCCTTCAGAGGGGACCGACCTCAGAAACTACAGACTACACCAACCGACCACCTTTGCGAGCAAGTCAAACGCAGCCGCGAGGTGGAAATCCTTTTCGGGAAGACGCAGCCCCCGCGGCTCGGGAAGGCCGGGCGAGGAGCCACTCGGCTGACTTTTGGGACTCGCGCGCTCTGAGGGTGCCGCGGCTTGAGCCCGCCGGCCACTCGCACAGAAGCGACCCGACGCAAAGGGGGAGAGGCGGGCAAGACTCGAGGGTCGTGGCTGCTATCCAACCCGCTTCCAGTCGGGAAACCGCGCGGAGCGGCAACCCTTTCGTAAGCCAGGAGACCGCTTTCACACCAAGTCACCCATTTAGCCCGGATGACCGAGCTCTCGCCGATCCGAACCACCTCCTCCAAACGCAGGCGGCCCAGCGGCAGAGGGCGGCGCCGGCCCAGGCGCAAAGCCAAGCGGCTCAAACCCGAGGCGGCGGCCGACCTCGCCAAGCGGCCGCCGTCTCGGACCGACGACAACCGAGTGCTCTTACCCAGGTGGCGCTTCAATCCCACACCGAGAGTGCCCGGACCTTCCAGAACCGAAGAGAACAAACCCAAGCAGCCCTGCTTCACCCCGGATCCCGGGCTCAAGCGACCTCCGCCCCTGCGGGACCGCGAGCGCCGACCCCTCCGCCCGTTATCCCGCTCAGTCGGTTCCGGAGCCTTCCCAGGACCAGCGCCCATCACAAATCCGATCAGCACCGCTCGGGGCATGCCGGGCATGGCCAGCAGCCGACAAAAGCGGCCACGCGCGGCCACGCTCACACCCGAGGCCACGCCGGCCACGGCCGTCCCCATCACGGGCACGCCGCCCACCCACAGCAGGTGAGTTGTTTTCACTTCTCTCCAATTCTCTTGCGATGTCAGCAACAGGGCGAGTTCATTTTTCACGCGTCAAGCTGCCGTCATTTCACAAGGGGCCTCGGTTTATGACAGTCCTGATATTTCGAAGCTTTCGGCCACACGTAGCAAACCGGTTTGAGAAATCGGTGGTCTCGCGGCACACAAAGACTCACTTAGCTCTGCACTTCCTACATATCATGTACCGTATTTTGCAGACTAGAAGTTGGTCCTGGAGTGGAAGTTGCACCAGTCTTAAAAAATCCTAACATGTATAAGTCATATTTTGGAGGGAAATTTAATCTTACAATTGCGTCGGGACTTGCACGCAAATTGCCCGTTCCCCGATGGTGTTGACGGCAGCGAACGATTTCCGCCGCTAACTACAGGAAGCTTTTTCTTTTTAGTTGAAAATGGCTGAGCTTATCGAGAATCCCGCGTTGCATTGCGGCCATCGGTAGAATCCCGCTTGTTGTTGCTGCAAAGAGTACCTCCTTGTTTTGGCAGATCGCGCTGGCAGCGATGCACCAAATGTGCTCGCCAAGCGCCAAAACGAAGAACAATTAGGAGCGGAGCAGCCCGAAGAAAAAGTCGTCATGGCAACTGATGCGTGACGTCTCGCTAATTTAGCGCGCGGCGTCCGCCGCAGCAACGATTTCCTATTTACGGCACCGAAAGGCATTAGAACCAAACCGGGATTCTATCCGTGGCTGCAACGTGACGCGGGATTCTCGTCCCTGGTAAGCCACGTTGAACTCAAAAGAAAAACTCTTCCAATCATGCGGCAGTTTTGAATCCGACAGGAACTTGGTTACCGCCGTCGAGGTGACCAAGGGGGATTTTGGGTGCCGGTCCGAGCTACAATTTGAATATCAAGTTGCACCTGAGGTGCTTAAACAGTTTAAATGTTGGTAGTTGCGCCTCACATCCCGAGACCACCGGCGAGAAGACTGGAATCACGTCGCATTTTAGATCGGCTTTTTGTTTTGGGGCCAGCGTCGAAGCGCAGCGCTGCTCGTTGTCCGTGGCGATTCTTCCTCCCCTTTTGTCTTCTTCCTCTCGTTGGTTGTTGCGCGTCAACAGTGAAGCGTTTGTGTCTCCAGCGTCAGACTCACCGAGGGAGGCCGAGGTGATGACGGACGTCGGCGGACGACTTGCACTCGGCCTCGTCTCCCCGCTCAGATGAGCAGCTGACAAATGTGAGTTGGGCAAAAAAGGCCCAAACCGCAACCGCCGCCGCGACAAAGCTTCTCATCGCATTTTCCAAGATTCTCCTTCAAGCAGACGAGTTCAGTGAGCAAAGCTCGACGACTGTCGTGATCCATCATTTAGATACGAGCACTGCGGTGCAGTGGCTAGCCTCGGCATTCCACTTACTGTGGAATGGACTGCGAGGCTCCGCCTGTCGGAACATCAAAAAAAAAAAAAGGCGGATACTTTTTCAAGTGTTTTTACGGCGTCTTTTGCGGAAATGCCTTTCTCCTGCTTTCTGGTTGGCCGAAACAGCCGAGCAGAGGTTGCATGATCCCCCCACTTTTTCAAAGGGATTCGCCAATGTTCGTTTTTTTTTCTTTTTTTCTCGCTTGATTGGCTAAAACGGTCGGATGTTCTCTTTTCTCACCTGACCCTTGTTGTGCTTGCGCCTTTTCTTCTGGTGTCCGATTGGCTAAAAGGGGCCCGGGTTGTGCTTATTGCCCCAAATGTTGATTTTTTATTTTTATTTTTTTAAGATTGTTTTTGGAATGGTTTTGTGTTTACCGTCATGTTATTTTCAAGTGTTTTTAACGAGTGTCTTGACGGGTCTGGCTTGGCCTTTCCTCAAGTCACCGAAACTAGCCTGTTCCTGGTAATAGCTACATCTGGCGGACCCCCCCTCTCCCCACCCCATTTTATTTTATATTGTTACATTTTTAAGGATCCCTAAAGTGACTTTTTTTGGGGGGGGGGGCTTTTCCATGCCCAACTTCCGACGGTCTGCTACAGTCGTTATACACTGCCGCTTTTTAGACCCTGCCAATAAGTCTCGCAAATGTTTCCAGTGAAATATTTTGTTAAGTGCGCACAAAGTAGAAATGGGAAAAGACTCTCTGCCAATTCCAGTATCGCAAGTCAGCGATTTGGTGCTGTCTTAATGTGCAATGCACATTTATTTTGCGCCTTCTGTTTACGGATGCTCGTCGCGACGCTTCTCAATTAAGAGGATTGGCCTCGACGGAGCCGCGGAAGCGCCGCTCGGCTAACCGTGAAGGGGGTCCCATAACTGGACGGGTGCTTATTAATGAAAGGCTTTTATGCGACTCAAATGAGTCGGGAAGTCACGGCGCCCGCGCACGAGCGAGGTCTGCCGACGAGATGGGCTGAAAAGGGCCCATTTTTGTGCCAGGGTCATCATCGCCGAGGAATGTCATGATCACTTGACGTATTTCTTGATTGGGAGGTTTCCTGACTCAGGGATGTGCTTTCGAAGGTTTTATTGAGCTTGCGGCTGTCCAAAGAGGATCTGTTTGTTTTTTGTTTTTTGTTTTTTTTTTTGTGCTGCCGAGAATAAACTTGAATGTTTGAACGTGCCAAAGGTAACAGTGAACGCAAGGACATAATAAAAGTCTGTTCACACAATTGACAATTTGGTCTTTTTGTGAATTAATAGCAGCTCGTATCCGGTCCTGACCTGAGGCAGCGGGCAGGGGCGGAGCAGCTCAAAGAGGTCACGTGAGGCGAGCCCATGTCAAGATTTGAAAACAAATCGGCAGATCTCGGAAAGAACTCTCAAATGAAGAGATGCTAGGGTAGGAGTTGTGTGCTCCCTCTTACGAGCACCAGCACCAGCGGCATTTTGGACCCACTGGAGACGCTTCATGGAGGATTGGCTGACTCCTAAGTCAAGTGCATGACAGATATGACAAAGGTGTTTCAAAGTGCTCTTGAGAAAGGAGGGACTTGACTTGAGCAAGCTGTGTGGTACAATTCTTTCGGGTTAGAGCAGAGCCTCGACAAAACAAAGCAAGAAGCGTGGATTCCATACCATTTTTTTCCTCTTAAAATCAACACATTTCTGTCTTCGAAGCACATATTTAAGCCTCGGATCAAAAAGTGAATGCCGTCGTTCGCCGGTGGTGCCGCCGCGCGCGTGTGTCGAGCACACGCGCCCGCAAGTGAAGAGGTCAAAGCTGTAGCAGACGCTTTTTAAGAGCGCGGTTTTTATTTTTGCCGCTCGCGAGCAGTTCGCCCCCGTGTTTAAATTTAGAAAGTGAAGGGCTGTCAACGCGCGCGGAAGAGAACAACACAACCTGCCCAGCGCGTGTCGTCGCTCTCGAGTCGCTGCGAATACTAGACGCCGAAAGAGTGCTCGATTGCACACGGCGTCTCCTCGACACGCCTCCGTTGTGACGTCGCTGAATCGTTCAGGCTTTTCGCACCCTTCTCGACGAATCCGAGACGCAACCGTTAAAAGCCTCCAACTGGGCGCACGTTCAGGGAGGGGCCAAGTGAGAGAAGCCTTTCACACAGCCACCGTCCCAACCTCAACTCCTTTCACGCTGCCTTTCCAAGCCGACTTCTTCCCGTGTCGTCGTTTTGCGCGAGCGGTAAACCTGAAGGTGGATCAGAGGCGCAACAAAAAAAAAATCGACTTGGGACCAGTCCGCTGGCTCCCCGTCGATCGCGATGGGACGTATGAGGCATCTTGGAGTTGCGAACTAACTTGGCGGCGGGTCATTTTGTGAACGCTTTGTCATGCTGAAAAGTGAGTTGGCTGTCCTTCTGGCTCCCTCGCTGAAAACGTCGCGCCTCCGCTCCTGTCCTGTCGTGTCAGCTCACTGAATGTGAATTTGCCGCCTTCTCCCCACATGATAGAAAGTCCACGAAGGATTCTCAGAGTCCCCGGTCGAGAGACTTTCACGAGCGGAGGTGTGCCAGACGCCCGGTCATGAAAGGCGCCGGCCGATTGATGGGGAAGCGGCGACGGCTTTGGCACACGCGCCATCGAAGCGGCTTGTTTACGGGGCACAACAATTGAAACGGCGCCGCGGCTCGTCCCATTTGCATGTAAATTTGCTGCTGTTTTTGCCACCGGGATGATTTAGTGGCGCCCGGGCTACTCTTTGGGACTGCTTACGCATCCCTTTGGAGGCGTGAATTAAAGGCCTGTTTGTTTGGGGGGGCTTTTTTGTGTTGATGAATGCCCACTTTACGTGTGTATGTGTGTGTGTGGGCCTCAACTTAAACACACACACACATTTCACATCGAACATTGCGTCCAGTCGTAAAATATTGATGAAGCTTTAACTGCAATTTTTTTTTTCCGAATGTGGCGTTTAATCGACCGGGGCAGACGACACGTTGCCGACGAGCTGCGAGGCGAATCCTTTGCGAAGGAGCAATTGAGGCACGGCTGACAAAAACAAACTGCTACGGATATTTTCTACCTTTCGAAAATCAAGAGTCTTCTTGGAGGTGAACCTTCAGACGCCCCCCTCAGCCCCAACCTTTATCGGCCAAGCCCCTCTTATCCCCGGGAGAGAAAAAAATGGTGGAACCGTCCGTGCCTGATCATGCAGCGCTTTCTAGTTGCTCGAATTATTTCCCAGTCGTCTCCCGCCTTGATAGCCTGGACCACAAATGCTTTCAAAATTCTGCTCGAGCCTCGTTTATGCGGACGCCCCCAATGACTGGTTCACCCTCCCCCACGTCAGCAGCTGTCCCTCGCCCTCGAGGCAAAAGCGTGCAAGTCGCAAGTCGTCGAGGTCACGCTCCGAATGTGCACGTGCTGCTGTTGTCAAGGCGCCTCGTCCGGACCGAGGTTATCAGTCACAAAAACTTTGACTTAAGAATCGCGAACAAACTAAAATGAAGCTTTTTAAAGAAACAAAAACTAAAGATAATTACAATATGAGTGAAAATGTCCTTGGTTTTCATCTTTGTCAATTTCTATCTTCCGTGAGCTTTGGGGCTTCCTTTGAAATGGACTGGAATGATCGATTTCCATGTCTTGAAGATGAGAGATCAATTGACTTGATGACACAATACCGTAATCATTCACCTTTTTTCATCTTGCACTCGACAAAAACTTCCTATTAAAAACAAAAAACTCAAAGGAATCCCACAATGAATAAAGCCTCGACTAAAACAAAGCATCAAAAAAGAAAACCCATAAAAATGAACTAATCCTCTCGAAAAGTAATTAGGACCACAACTTAAGAAACTAAAACCAAATTTGGATGAAAAATCCCAAACGACGGAAAATCACCCAAATCCACCTGCGCCCGCGCATCCTTTGCCATCCGAGCGTCCTTCAGACACAGTCTGCGCACGGCGTCCATTTCGACACCTGTGCACGCGTCGTCCCCTTGAGGGGGGAGGACATCAAATAAAACAAATGTTTGGACTTTATGGCTCTGCAGCTGACTCCATTTTGTGACCCTGAATTTCCCGCTTTGGCTGAAAGGCGCGTTTGGAAGGGAAGCGAAGGGAAGGGAAGGGCCTTCCATGCGGCGGGGGTGTCCTTGAGCAGGACGCCGACTCCCCGACGGGTCATAACCGCATCGAGCTCCAGACTGGTGCGTCTCAAAATGGAAACGATGCGCGGCGGAAACTGCCACAAGGGGGAGCCGCGCGAGGTTATGCATCGATTGCTAGCAGCTTTGATTCCTCCGGGGACGGCTCGTCGCCATCTGTGCAACATCAAAGTACCTCCGCCCCCCACCCCAACAAAAAATCATTGCCAATCATAACATAAATTAAATCGACAGGCTTGTTGGCGAAGGTGAACGCTTGCCTTTTGGGAATACTGAACAAGAAGTGGAATCATTTTACACGCACGCAAAAAAAAAAAAAGACAAAAGGCTTTTTTTGTCTTCCGCCGTATTCGCTTTTTGCCTCAAAAACATTTCGAATGGAGATGCACCCGCTGCTTTGAATTCAATTACAAAAAGAAGACCCCCCCCTCCCCCCACCCAACCTTATGTAAGCTCACCTCGAGACGAGCGCATCAAAAGGAAGCATTGTTTGTTTCAAGCAGAGCAGAAGGAAGAATGATCGTCGAAAAATCAAAACAAAACACGCCTGCTGAAAATGTCAAACTCTTCTGGTGCCCAAACGCAGTCCTCCTTTCATGTTATGACCAGCGCCAAAGTAAGACTGTGTTCCGGAAAGTGTCTTTACGAACGACTGGACGACGTCAGGGCCTTATCAAACCACACGACTTTTTTGGGGTTTTTGCAAAAACGGTGAACAGTGAGCATTACTGCCACCGCCAGGACTGGACCGCACCATCGTGGATGACTTTTGTGGCAAACACACTCCACGATCAGTTTGGAAAGCTCGACGAGCAGAAAACAAAATACAAATAAAAATGGCCGACAGCACACCTTCCAAACACGGCGCTTTCAAAGCAATTCTGACAAAACACGGCGCATCCATTTTTTTGGGGGACGCATTCCACAAATCATGTCGACAACAAACTCCGCAAACGCGGACGATGGAAAAAGTCCACAAACGCGGCGGACAACACAGAGCAGAAATGTAAGGCAAGCGTTCACCTTCGCCAACAACACCCTGCAGGCATGTGTCCCCTTTCGAGTTGTATTTTCTTTGTGTTATTAGAAAAAAAAAAAAATCCACAGCTGATGTCCGTTGCCTCGGTGTTCTGTGCGCATTTTGTTCTTCAGACGTTGGGGGCGTTCCCAGCAAAGCAGGACGATCTCTGCCCTTCCAAATGTCAGCTGTGGTCATGTGACGCTGCTAAATGGTGACATTTACACATTTCTTCTGTCAGGGTTCGTTTGTGGCCCCCCGCCGCCGCCCCGCCCAAAAAAAAAAACCTCACACTCATATATTCCTTGAGAGCTTTTTGTAAAATATGTTGAAGGTCTTTCAGACGATGACATTTTGTCGGAAGCAGGAAACGATCAGACATTTGCATGCCTGTGCACAACCAGCCGAGTCAGCGGAAAGTTTGCGATGTCTCATTTGCTCGCGCATGCTTCACCGGAGACATTTTCGATAACAGGTGGAAGTCCATTTTTTATGTTTGCCGCCGTCTGTGTTGCCGTGTTGGCTCCAACCAGCTCCAACCAGCCGCCATGGGATGAGAAATCCTCGCATCGGCTCTGTTTTGTCCTTTGTTATCATGAGACTTGTCATCGTCTGGCTGCCGTTTAACCTTTCCAGACATTTTTATCACCTTGATCCAAACGCTCGCAGCTTTTTGGCGCTCACCTCCTGCCTGGTTTTTACAACGCAAACGGCTTTTAATTGGCGCCGAAGTG